TTTTTTTTAAAAAAAACTTTATTTGTATTCTTTGTTACAATCACATAAAAAAAGAAAACTGACATCAGCAGAAAAAAAGGACAATCTACAAAGAACATGTAAGAAAATTATACAATAAACAAGACACTCAATGATTAATGTCATTTAGGGTCAAACAAACGTAAAGTTTGAAGGTGCAGCASAGTGCTGCTCCTGTCTGTCAGAGAAGCCTGTACGTCAGTTACGTGCATTCTGACTGACGTGTAAAGGAACCAGTGATTGGCCGAGATGAGTCTGGGGGTGGGGCTTCAGTCTCCGGCGGAGGCTTGTCGCCTGACCGGATGATGACAGAACAGAAGTTTTTACTGAAGCAGTGTCCGTTTTTATCTGGCGCTAACCCGTTTAATAATCCGGACAGTTTACCCAGAACTATCTGGACTTTTTGAAACCTTTGCCGTCTTGTATTGGGAGGAAATAAACTCAATTAAGCGGTGACAAAATCTTGTTCCATCTGCGAACTTTTTTCTTGTTTTTACTGGACGGTAGTTTTTCTACTGGTTCCGCAAGGGGGTCCAGGAGAAAGACCCCAGGGCTCTCTGAAGACGTGCCGCCATGGGAAACCGGGGGATGGAGGACCTAATTCCCCTCATCAACAAGCTCCAGGACGCCTTCAGCTCCATCGGCCAGAGCTGCAACCTGGACCTGCCTCAGATAGCGGTGGTCGGCGGTCAGAGCGCTGGGAAGAGTTCGGTGTTGGAGAATTTCGTTGGAAGGTTGTACCCCCTTCAGTTTTTCTGAGTTTAAGAAATTTAATTTTATATTTCAAGAATGAATGTGTTTATATCAAAAACACATGAAACTCGCCAACAAATCCGTTGTTTACGCGCCTTGCCCAGTTTTCTACGTTTTTCCATCTGATTGTGTCCAGTTTTAAACCGACCTATTCACAGTCCACACATACGCTATTTACGTAAATAAACAGCAACATGTGAGGGGGAGAAAAACGCTCTAAAAAACCTTTTAAAGCAACTTTAACCTGAAGCTTTTAGAAACTAAAAGATTAATTTGACTTTCTGAGGAGATAAATAATATCCTGCAGCTTCGTATCAGAAACATCCTGTCAAACATTGACAAGACCTGCTTTATCAAAAGGCCGTAAATAAGATGCAATAAAGGTCAGGGTAATGTTTTACTTGTAAGGGTGAGACAAAATATTTTCATTATTGCTGCGTGAGATCAGATAGAAGAAATAAAAGAGAATAAAAAAATAAAAATGACTTGAGTTTTGCCTTCTCTGCATGCTGAGCTCTGCTGTGATTTCTTTTTTTTAGGGCTGATGAAGGAGCTGTTTGGGGTTATTTTTATTGAAAAACAGGAAACCAGCTGTTTCTTTCTTGCTTTGTTTTGTAAAGGCTTTGCTTCTTGTTGAAAGGAATCACTGGCTGTGGACCATCTTTGAAGTCGCAGCAGAACAACATGACATGAATTAGAGGAAAAGGTAACGGGAAGAAAGCATCTTATTGTTGCAGCAGTTTTGTGTTGTTTAATTCGCCTGGCTAGTCAGATTAGTTTTACTTGTTGTCCAGGATAGTGGACGTTGATTAGGCGTCTCGTTTTTTTCGTGTTGTCTTTTGTCCTGTGCCCCGAGCAGCAGCAGAGGCAGACAGTGGGGGCTTTGATATGTTTGGCCCGGGGGTCATCAGTGATGTCACCAGCTGCACTGTCATGTGTACACGACACACTGGGTACCAAGTACCCACAAAGCTGTTAGCTGTTCCCATCTTTGTTAATTAGCACAACTCACAGGCAGGGCTGCAACACTGGGTTTTCAGACCAGAGTTTTCACTTAGTTGGAGATCTTAAATATTTTTCATTATTTATTTGTTAATTATTGCTTCCTTTGTAACTATTAGGGTCAGTGGTCGCATGTTTGAGCATATGATCTTTAAAAACAAATAAATTTACGTGACATAATAGAAAATAGTTTTTTCATATAGTATTCATTAGGGCTGTGTATTGGCAAGAATTTGGCGAAACAATACATATCATGACAGAGGGGTCACGATACGATATATCCCGATATATTGCGATACTGTAAGCAAGGCAATATATTGCGATACTGTAAGCAAGGCGATATATTGCGGGGGGGGGG